TTTCCCTAAATTTGTATATATACTGTTTGAATGACAGCTTGGTAAATCTGTTGGCAATCAAATATTCAATATCCCAACTCATCATAAGTACTTGGTACATTATCAGCGCTGCGGCAGACGTTCAAACTAATATCAGTAATTTACGTCTCTTTGATGATTGGTTGATATCAGAAGAGAGGCTAGCCTCCCTTGCAAGGGTTCTTTTCTCAACACTCCTCAGCGCTGAAAGTGAACACTCGATGCTGATTGGTGGTCCAGAGAATCAGCATAGGGGATTTCTTTCAACACAAAAACTATTTTACCATCTCTATATAATGGACTACTGGCAGTTCACCGTATACTCTTACTTTCTCTGTCTCTCATGTGGTGTATCATACCTGGAGAATGAAGACCTTCATGAAGACTTCATTGCTGTTTCTGACGCTGTGCTGTGCTCTGCAGTTTAATACCTCAGATGGTGAGTAATCTGTGCTTCTGTTGATTTTTTTCTCCTTAATGTTTAAAGTGTTAGGCTCCAAATTCAGTTTTCTGCAAAGGAGACTTTATTTAAACAATCTAATTAATTTTTTTTTTTTTTTTTTTTTTTATCTATTTCTGAAAATATTGGATAACCATTATTTTTTCAGGTTCTACTGCAAGTGACATTGAAAACAGTATCTGCTGCTTTAATCCACGAAATATCAGAATACCTCTTCAGCGGCTGGAGTATTATTACTGGACAAGTGACATTTGCCCTCTCAGACACATTGTGTGAGTATTCTCTCGATATGTTTAGATGTAGCTACTTTATATTGTTACTAATATTTAGTATTTACTTAACGTACATGTTGTTTTAATGCTTTTGTCTGTAATGTGCTCTAGATTTGTTACAGCTCCCGAGGATCCTAGCACTCCAAAGAAACAATTCTGTATGGACCCTGAAAATAAGTGGGTCCAGCGGGCCATTAACCACTTGGACAAAAAGCATGCTAAAAACTTAAATTAAACTTGGAAAAAAAATTCTACATTTCTACACCGATACACAAACACACACCCCTGTACATATGAGTAAAACTAAAATAAACTTGTTATTGTATTGTAACGTTTTAGTGAGTTACCATTGTAATGTGTATTATTCAAATGTGTGGATCTCATCATTATCAATAATATTATGTCAACAGTAATTCTTAAGCTACTGATCTGATGTAAATTTTAAATGAGCTGTATAAAGAATATTGCATATAGAGTGTGGTATGTACATTTCTTTGATAATTCTTTAATAATTGTCATTATTAAAGTCTACCTATTGTCTAGGCCTGCCTTTTTATTAAATATTTACTTTACAATTTACTTCAGTTAAGGTTAATTGACAGTTTTATTAGAATCAAGTGGCAGTTAGTGTAACTACATTTACTTCAAATATTTTATATATAATGATAAACATGACACATTGCAACTACTATTTGAATATTCCACTAGAGGGCACATGTACATCATTAAAGATTTATGATCCAAATTTATTTATTTATATATTTGTTTTGTAAGCATCACATTTACATGTCCATCAAGTGGACCAACCAATTAATGACTTCACAACAAGGATTTTTATTTTTAGGTTAATTATTCTTTTTACTTCTGAGTACTTTTATTTATGACATACTTGTTTGCATTATATTATCAGTTAAATTATATTAATTAAAATTTAATTACGTATTATATGAGCATTATATTGACCTGCTTTTTTAAGTGTTATATTTACATTAGTCATAAAAAAAAATATCAGTTGACCAGAGATATTTGATATTTATTCTAAATCTGTTTTTAAATATTAGGCACTTGCAGAGATTGTGCACATGTGCAAGAAATGTAAGGAATAAATTTTATCCGAAAAGCAATGCAGAATTGCTTAAATAAAGAATACTTTATTGTCTAGCAAGGTGGTCTTTGCAGCTAAAGCATTATTTTTTATGAGAGCCAAAACAATTAATTTAATTGTTTTATATGGTCTAATTCGAAGAAACTATATGATGCATATTGAATATTATGGCCAAGACAGATATAATATAACATTTAATGAAAAAAATATTGAAAGTAAATGTTCAATATTTTAATTAGCTAAATTGTGCTCAAATAAGTATTATAAAGAACCACAGTCCGAAGACAACTTTAGAAATTCACTAAATTGTTAATGTCCACAAAACATACAGCTAATGTACAATGTAGGATCATTCAACAAAAATAATGATACAATTACTAATTTTTTCTTGAGTAATAAAAGCACAATAAATAATGACAACCCATACAACCCTTGGTTAATAAAAAAAGTCTTATTAAAATGACCTCCCACAGACTACCAAGTAACATGTAATATTAATAACTTCTCTGTGTGTAATGATAGACCTACTCTTACAAGCTCAAAGACATTTAGAATCTGTTTTGTCTTGGTGCCCTATTGACATTTTGTTATTTATCTGTAAATATTTTTATACAGAAACATAAACACAATGCAGAGATGGGAAGTAACAAAGTACAAATAAGCCTACTTCGTTACTGTACTTAAGTAGATTTTTCTGGTATCAGTACTCTTAGAAAAATACCCGAGATGGCTTTAAGAACACAGATAAACCATATATTGCTGAAAACCATATATTTATTGTATTGATGTTTCATCAGCTAGGCTAAAACATATCTGTCTGCATGATTTCCTGGAACGTCATAATTAAATTATATTATTTCATTGAGTCTCACTTATGCAGTTTCTGCGCGATGCCCTCCAGTGTGAATGAAACAGACATTACTTGTGTACTCACTAATGCTTACAACACCCTATTTTGGGTAAAAATAGGAAAAATAACACTTTAATTGGAAGTAAACATCCATATCCATACGTTTTTCTTTAGTGTAGAGAAGTGTCCATAAGATTTCCTGACAAAAATTAAGAAAATACTGTGACAGATTTAATAAAATAAAAAATTTTTTTTAAATGATTTATAGTTTTAGGCCCCCTGCATGTTAACAGGGGAAAACAAGTGTAAATTATGCTTGCACTCTAATTGTCTTTGTTTGCATTTCAATAAAATTTACAGTATAACTCACCTCAGTTGTGCCATTCTTAAAGCATCATAATAATTTTTAGTTGTTTCCAAGGACAAGAGGCAGAATCACCCTGAAATCTAGGATGTGGCCTATAGGTGATGGCACATTTTTTATTATTATTTTTTTTCTATGCTTGTGTTCTACATGGTGGTTGTTCAGTCTGGATACATTCATTTGAAATGTAAGTGCTTTTGTAGTAATGGCTACTTTTTACTTAAGTACATGTCAGAGCCCATACTTCTTTACTTTAACTTGAGTAAAAAAAAGTGTAGTCAGTACTTCAACCAGAGTCTTTTTAAACATGAGTAGGCCTATCTGTACTTCTACTTGAGTGAAGGAAGTGCTTGCTGTGTTTTTTTCCACCCCATAAATAATTTCCCCCTGCTCATATACAGTTTTAGCACATATAACAGCACCTTCGCATAAAGGGTAAGATGGTTTCAAGACGGAATATTGTTATACTTAGAAATCTAGACCAGTGATGCGGCTCTTTTTTTTTTGAACGAAAACTATTTCACCATCTCTATATAATGGAATACTGGCAGTTTACCACTTACTTTCTCTGTCTCTCGTGTGGTGTATCATACCTGGAGAATGAAGACCTTCGTGAAGACTTCATCACTGTTTCTGATGCTGTGCTGTGCTCTGCAGCTGAATACCTCAGCTGGTGAGTGTCTGTTTCTGTCGTATTTGTTCTCTGTCATGGGAATGGGATATAAAGCATTTCAGGCTCCGGATTTAAACTTCATTTAAACAATCTAAAACAGTTCTTAGTTATCTCTTTCTGAAAATGTTGGATAACCCTTATTTAATCTGTATTTTAAAAACCTGGAGAAGAAAAACATTAATTTTATCCGAAAAGCAATGCAGAATTGCTTAAATAAAGAATACTTTATTGTCTAGCAAGGTGGTCTTTGCAGCTAAAGCATTATTTTTTATGAGAGCCAAAACAATTAATTTAATTGTTTTATATGGTCTAATTCGAAGAAACTATATGATGCATATTGAATATTATGGCCAAGACAGATATAATATAACATTTAATGAAAAAAATATTGAAAGTAAATGTTCAATATTTTAATTAGCTAAATTGTGCTCAAATAAGTATTATAAAGAACCACAGTCCGAAGACAACTTTAGAAATTCACTAAATTGTTAATGTCCACAAAACATACAGCTAATGTACAATGTAGGATCATTCAACAAAAATAATGATACAATTACTAATTTTTTCTTGAGTAATAAAAGCACAATAAATAATGACAACCCATACAACCCTTGGTTAATAAAAAAAGTCTTATTAAAATGACCTCCCACAGACTACCAAGTAACATGTAATATTAATAACTTCTCTGTGTGGTAATGATAGACCTACTCTTACAAGCTCAAAGACATTTAGAATCTGTTTTGTCTTGGTGCCCTATTGACATTTTGTTATTTATCTGTAAATATTTTTATACAGAAACATAAACACAATGCAGAGATGGGAAGTAACAAAGTACAAATAAGCCTACTTCGTTACTGTACTTAAGTAGATTTTTCTGGTATCAGTACTCTTAGAAAAATACCCGAGATGGCTTTAAGAACACAGATAAACCATATATTGCTGAAAACCATATATTTATTGTATTGATGTTTCATCAGCTAGGCTAAAACATATCTGTCTGCATGATTTCCTGGAACGTCATAATTAAATTATATTATTTCATTGAGTCTCACTTATGCAGTTTCTGCGCGATGCCCTCCAGTGTGAATGAAACAGACATTACTTGTGTACTCACTAATGCTTACAACACCCTATTTTGGGTAAAAATAGGAAAAATAACACTTTAATTGGAAGTAAACATCCATATCCATACGTTTTTCTTTAGTGTAGAGAAGTGTCCATAAGATTTCCTGACAAAAATTAAGAAAATACTGTGACAGATTTAATAAAATAAAAAATTTTTTTTAAATGATTTATAGTTTTAGGCCCCCTGCATGTTAACAGGGGAAAACAAGTGTAAATTATGCTTGCACTCTAATTGTCTTTGTTTGCATTTCAATAAAATTTACAGTATAACTCACCTCAGTTGTGCCATTCTTAAAGCATCATAATAATTTTGAGTTGTTTCCAAGGACAAGAGGCAGAATCACCCTGAAATCTAGGATGTGGCCTATAGGTGATGGCACATTTTTTATTATTATTTTTTTTCTATGCTTGTGTTCTACATGGTGGTTGTTCAGTCTGGATACATTCATTTGAAATGTAAGTGCTTTTGTAGTAATGGCTACTTTTTACTTAAGTACATGTCAGAGCCCATACTTCTTTACTTTAACTTGAGTAAAAAAAAGTGTAGTCAGTACTTCAACCAGAGTCTTTTTAAACATGAGTAGGCCTATCTGTACTTCTACTTGAGTGAAGGAAGTGCTTGCTGTGTTTTTTTCCACCCCATAAATAATTTCCCCCTGCTCATATACAGTTTTAGCACATATAACAGCACCTTCGCATAAAGGGTAAGATGGTTTCAAGACGGAATATTGTTATACTTAGAAATCTAGACCAGTGATGCGGCTCTTTTTTTTTTGCACGAAAACTATTTCACCATCTCTATATAATGGAATACTGGCAGTTTACCACTTACTTTCTCTGTCTCTCGTGTGGTGTATCATACCTGGAGAATGAAGACCTTCGTGAAGACTTCATCACTGTTTCTGATGCTGTGCTGTGCTCTGCAGCTGAATACCTCAGCTGGTGAGTGTCTGTTTCTGTCGTATTTGTTCTCTGTCATGGGAATGGGATATAAAGCATTTCAGGCTCCGGATTTAAACTTCATTTAAACAATCTAAAACAGTTCTTAGTTATCTCTTTCTGAAAATGTTGGATAACCCTTATTTAATCTGTATTTTAAAAACCTGGAGAAGAAAAACATTTAAAAACACGTTGAATCACATTTTAGTGAACTCTTCACTTTTTCAGGCACTAAAGCAATTATGAGCGTAAACAGTATCTGCTGCTTTAATGAAATCAATATCAGAATACCTCTGAAACGGCTGGAGTCTTATTTCTGGACAAGCAGCAGCTGCCCTTTCAAACACATTGTGTGAGTATCCTCGCGATATGTTTAGATGTACACTTATATTGTTATTAATCTTTAGTATTTACTTC